TATTTTTTCACTGATTCACTGACAAGCTGAATGTAAAATATAGGAAAAAAACTTGTGTTCGCTGGATTTTATTTTCACTGAATCATTCCTTCAGCGAAAATAGTGAAAATTAATTCCACCAAAATAAAATAAAATATTTTACAGTATCTAAAATAAATTCAGACCGGTGATCTGATTCAAATACAACAGCAAAACTGTAATCCTAGTGCCTAACAGCATGGTACCGTCATTTCAAAATAATATTTCAACCCAAAAATAAATTTGTCAACTGATATACTTGTATTTACAAAATGGTTTTACATAATTATTATACACTTAAAAATAAATAAAAATGGCCTATACAAAAATGTTGATGTTATATAACTACTGACAATGTTTATTGTTGATAAAGACAAAGAAGTTGAAAAGAAAGATGTATATCATACTTAACTTTTGGTTCTGTAATTTTTTGCGATTTGATAGTTTTCATAAGACAAATTTTCGCGAGTCCATGTTGTTAAATTTTTTTTCAGTGCCTTAAAGGGTGGTGCTCGTCACGCTGCGCATGTACAACATTTGTGTTGATAAACATTGATTTTTCCACAATCCAATGTGCCCTTCTAATGTAAATCTGAAGTACGAGTTTTGACAAGGGCGCAATGTGAACTAATTACCATCGGTGACTCTTTGACACCCTCCAATCACCGAAGAAAGTACATAGATAAAACTTGGTAACGTCTCAGTTTGTACAGTTAAAGTTGCCATCTTTGTTCATATAAGACCCATATCTCGCGCCTGCGTGGCGCGGCGTAGCGCGACGCGACGACCACCACACTTTAAAATAGAGGCACACATATTAATATACACAAGTTTTGCAAATCCCCACCCATCTCACCCAATCCATCCATTCATCCTACAAAACTGTCTCCTGAAAGAATATAGAACACATGGAAGCCTACATTTCAAAACAATTGACACAAATTGTTAGAGATGGAATAAGACAACTGCCAGTCTTGTGTGTGGGGTTGTTAAGATTACCACTGTAAGGTAAACAACCTGACCTGGCAATTTTCCTACAGCTCAGTACAATGAGCAAATGTACAATATCACACTCAAACACATGAAAAGAATACAAGTATGCAATAAAGAGCCCTATAAAATCACGTGACCTTAGGAACAAGGCGTTCAAAATCTATTGTTTTCAGTTATATAAATAAAATTTTACCCCTCTCCCAATTCCCCTCCCCCTTCCCCTGGCTGGCAAATGGGCACACTTAAATTTTTGTTTATACATTGAAAAAAAAATATTTAAAATTGCACTCGCTAGTTACACCAAAAGTGAACTTGGTTGACAGTTCATAGCGGTTGATAAGATTCCCAAATTTTAAGATGATCAAATAAAAATTATTCAAGTTACTGTAATAACAAGGGAAGTTTTACGACGACAACGGTAACAACAAGGACAGACATTTCCCCCTCATATACCTTGTTTTTCATCTATGATGATATGGACAAGGAAACAAAATGAATCAGAACGTGATAGATGTCATATTATCAGTTACTTTCTACATGAAACTTTGTCTCATGTTGATCTACAATCAGACTAGCAATGGTAATATACAGCTTTACCATTGTCACCCCTGGCATGTGTTCGGATCTTACGCCAACAAACAATGTGCATTACAGACGTTATATACTGTTATACGTAGCATAGAAACACCACTGAAAATGATATGATGTGATATATGGCATTTTAAAGTGAAAAAAATAAGAGTAAAAAAAAACTAATAAATATTTACATATAATTATTTTTTTCACCCAGTAATAAGTACCAGTATGGACATAGTTGTACATCAATAATGCAAAACTGAAGAGAAGAAAACCTATTGGTAATCTTGTGCAATACAGTGAAAAGTTAGCTATTACGCATATTTAATGCATTCACCCTCATTGTCAACCATTGTTACCTCCCACGAAATGATCCAATCCAAAATTTGTTTTTGAAATTACCGGTAGCAATCAAAAATCCATATAGTGACTGTAAATTTATAGTAAACTTTGAAATTTTGAAGAGAGAACATACATTAAAACACTTATGGAGACACCAAAATATTGTTTATTCAAAAATATCTGTGAAATTTGAATATTAAATGAACTCGCCCTACTCCACGAAAAAAAAATCAAACTAGTTTTCTGATGACAGGCACTTTGATTTTGAACTGCGATTTCAGTACTAAATACATTGATAAATTTACACTGACCAAAATTTACATAGTAACAAATAATCAACACAAAAGATTAGTATAAATGGCTCAAAAGATATTTGAAAATACAACATTACTGACAGAGTGGTTGAATGATTGTAATTGTTCATTCATGTGACATTGTGGGGTATTATATAAATAAAGTATTCTTCGTCAGCCCAAAGTACTAAGGATCCAAGATGAATGAGGTCCTGTCCTGTTTCCATGGTAACTCTACTACTGATATTAAAGATATTATAAATAAAAGCAAAAGTAGTGACAGCTAAAAGAGATATACACACACATATATATATATATATATATAAAAGACTTTAGCACCCATAAAATGGTTTTCAAATGTATCCAAAAAAACTCTGAGGGTGTATGGGCAGTAGAGGCCATAGTACATGGGTAGCAGAGGGAATTGGCCAGACTACATGGGTAGCAGAGGGATTAGGCCATAGTACATGGGTAGCAGAGGGAATTGGCCAGACTACATGGGTAGCAGAGGGATTAGGCCATAGTACATGGGTAGCAGAGGGAATAGGCCAGACTACATGGGTAGCAGAGGGATTAGGCCATAGTACATGGGTAGCAGAGGGATTAGGCCATAGTACATGGGTAGCAGAGGGAATTGGCCAGACTACATGGGTAGCAGAGGGATTAGGCCAGACTACATGGGTAGCAGAGGGATTAGGCCATAGTACATGGGTAGCAGAGGGATTAGGCCATAGTACATGGGTAGCAGAGGGATTAGGCCAGACTACATGGGTAGCAGAGGGATTAGGCCAGTCTACATGGATAGCAGAGGGATAAGGCCAGACTAGATGGGTAGCAGAGGGAATTAGGCCAGTCTGCATGGGTAGCAGAGGGAATTAGGCCAGTTTGCATGGGTAGCAGAGGGAATTAGGCCATAGTACATGGGTAGCAGAGGGAATAGGCCAGACTACATGGGTAGCAGAGGGAATAGGCCAGACTACATTGGCGGCAACAAACGTTAGGGCAGACTAAATCTTTATCAAAAGTAGATAATAAATTATGATCATGTAATATTTAGACTTTAGAAATAGATATTAAGCCGAAATTTCCTGGTATTTACATTGCACATATGATACACTTTAGTAAATATTTTAAATAATTAATTCTTGATTGGAAGCTTAAGTCATAATCAATGAGTTTTAGGCATTACCGATTGATGCATCATTAATATAACAGATTGCTCAAGTAAAAACACCCACAAGAAATAATGAAGACAATTTAAACTACAAATAAATAAATAAATAACAATAGCTTTGTAAAAGTTTCTTTGAAATGTTTGACAATGGCAGTTTTAGATAATGATTGTATGAGATTCAGAATGACATACAACCCCAGATAACAACATGATAGCCTTAATCACATCACACTCCCCATTGATTACATCACATTCCTAGGGTTGCATCACCACCCAGAGCCACATCAGAACCTAGGGTTGCATCACAACCCAGGGCCACATCAGAACCTAGGGTTGCATCACAACCCAGAGCCACATCAGAACCTAGGATTACATCACAACCCAGGGCCACATCAGAACCTAGCGTTGCATCACAACCCAGAGCCACATCAGAACCTAGGGTTGCATCACAACCCAGGGCCACATCAGAACCTAGCGTTGCATCACAACCCAGAGCCACATCAGAACCTAGGGTTGCATCACAACTCAGGGCCACATCAGAACCTAGCGTTGCATCACAACCCAGAGCCACATCAGAACCTAGCGTTGCATCACAACCCAGGGCCACATCAGAACCTAGCGTTGCATCACAACCCAGAGCCACATCAGAACCTAGCGTTGCATCACAACCCAGAGCCACATCAGAACCTAGGGTTGCATCACAACCCAGGGCCACATCAGAACCTAGGGTTGCATCACAACCCAGGGCCACATCAGAACCTAGGGTTGCCTCTCAACCCAGGGCCACATCAGAACCTAGGGTTGCCTCTCAACCCAGGGCCACATCAGAACCTAGCGTTGCATCACAACCCAGGGCCACATCAGAACCTAGGGTTGCATCACAACCCAGGGCCACATCAGAACCTAGGGTTGCCTCTCAACCCAGGGCCACATCAGAACTTAGGGTCTGATCACACTTTTGTGGTTGAATAACAACCAAGCTTTATATCAAAGGTCACATCACACTCTTGGACTGCTCGTGGTTTCATCAACCGTCATCAATCGTAGTGTAATTTTAGCAAAAACAACAAATCTACAGACAAGAGTCAATTGAACACATAGTAACGAATCATATTACTGATTTATGCCAGAGATATCATCCCCCATAATGACCAAATATGTCAACAAAGGGGATGAAAATCTATTTCTTTCGCAAGTATGCCTTTTATATTAAGTAAAATGAAATTAAACTAAGGTTTGATGAAAAAAACAAAACAGAATGTGGAATGAAAAGAAATGTTTGTGACTTGGACTTATATTTTGAAATGGGGCACATTTAAGCTTCAATAGTATCATGCTCTGTTATCGTTTCTTGAAACCGCACATTGCGATGATATTTATTCTTCCTCTCTCGCTTGTATTTATCTTGTCTTCCCTTGTCACCATTACCATCTGAGCTGCTGTCCTCGCTGCTTTGATCACTATCTTTAACATCGGACCTGGTATTTGAGGCTTTTATTTCTTTCATGTGAATACCCCCGTTGTCAAGACGTCCGTTCATTTTCTCAACGGGCGATATATCGATAGCGACATGGGGCAAAGCTGTTGAAGACAGAGACAGTTCGGCTAGTTGTAAGAGACCACATTAACAAAACATTCGAAAAAGAAAACATTCAAGCCCAAGAGATGATGAGAAAGAAGGGGAGAAAAGTAAGCGAAAGCCATGCTTGTTTATAATTCCCATGCGAGTTAGTATACTAGTTGACATGCAGGCATGGGAAACTAGTAACTAGTCTCATGTGAGTGATCACATCAAGCTACAAAACCACTATGCCATCTACACACCATCCATCACCTGTGATTGCTACAGCCACTTATAAATGGTAGAAAGAACCCGTAGATAGTCCATTCCTTCTCAGGCCGATCTTTTCGACTGCCTTGAAATCATTGGTATACAATGGTAAAAGTTGCTTCGACCGGCGCAAATCATATTTAGCCTGGAAGAATGGGGAGAGAGAGAGAAAACAAAAAATCAACGAACACAGCTCGTATTGTAAGTGTTAAATAAAATAAATCTCACATCGTTGGTGGTAGGACGACAAAGCGACGTCCGACGGAGAGACTAGAATCCAGGAACTCTCCTCATCTTGTTGATGTTGATTCTTGAAAAAGGCTTCTTTTCCACCGTCTGCCTCTTCTCTGGCCCGCCTCTCATGATAGGCCACCTAGAAAGGGGAACAAAAAGTCGCATACAAATACTAAGATATACACCCATACGCATCACAACCCATAAGCTGCTGAGAGACTGGATGCAGCAGTCAGTATATAGCATCTGTCTAGAATATGAAGTTTACATAGATATAAGAATCAATAGTATTGTAAAACCATTTATTTTCACTGGCATTTAATTTCACTATTTTAATGTTTTGAGCAATTTCACTGGAAAACAATGAGTTCTATTGTTACTGTAAAATACTTTATTTTAGCTGGAATTAATTTTCGCTGAAAAGACATTTTGGGTGTTTTGTATGGAATTTATTTTCACTAAATCATTCTTTAAGTGAAAATAGCGAAAATTTATTCCAAGTTAAAATAAAGTATTCCACAGTATTGTACATGTTCACACAAATTTAATTTAGTGGAATTTACATATCAACGAAAATAGCAAAATTAAAAACCAGTGAATAAATGACATGTACACATAAACTCAAACATATAAAGATATGATATTAAAAATCAACACACATTATCTATCATTCAGTCAGGGAAAGGGAAAAATAGCGGGATGGACAAGTAGTGAGGAAGTGAGTGAAGAACAAACATTAATATTTATATTTTATTCCTATTACCATTATTTATTCATTTCCTACAAGCAAATGCTTTATTAAAAGCCCATTTCCAATAGAAGTGCATATAAACCAATAATTGCCCTATTGTATACTCATTATTGGATTGTTAAAATATGACTCATTGTGACCATAGACACAACTTTGAAATTTACACAAGTGTATGTGCTACTAAGACAAGTAGCTTGTCGGCTGAGATAGCTCTGCACTTCAAGAATTGAAAATATCATCACAAAATGAACAAATCTGAGAGAGGTCTACCTAAGGTACCTATAAGTATAGTGTCAAAGCAAAGTGGCTTGTGGTTTTCAACGAAAAGTCGAAAATATCAATTTTTACCAAAACTTCATCAAAATTAAAGAATTACGAAATGAACAAAACTGACAGAGGACTATCCCAAGAGTCTATGTTGAAAATATTCAAGCATTTGGTTTAACGATTTTGAAGAAAAAGACAAAAATGTAAAAAGTTTACAACAGACTACATACGCCAGACAATCAGTAATATAAAGAGCTCCACATCGTCGACAAAGACTACAGTGGAGCTAAAAAGTAAATATGGTATTGTTCATATGATATGTTAGGATATTGTACAAAAGGTAGCCAGGAATATTTGTTTTTAGATGTTAAGTTATTTTTAGAATTATTAATAGCATTGTGAAACTGACAAAGAATTCATACAAATTCCAAAGTCATTTGAATACATAAACACACAAGTCTTTTATAACAAACTCTAAAATTTGATCCTTAAAAACAATAAAACACCTACATCTGTATAAGACTAACTACACATGGCTACAACTAGTTTCTACATGGTAAGTGGAGGCCCTGAAAAGAAGGGGGAAGGAGGAGGAGGGAGAGGTATATATTACCACTTCAAAACAGAAGTTAAAAATCACTTATAATTAAAGAGCGGTGACGAATACGAGTGCAATTAGAATGCGTTCACAATTATGTAACAAAATAGTGTTGATTTGTGTTTACACAAAACTCTGCAGCTTTTTCAGATACAACAACAACAACAAATAACACTCCTAGTAATAAAAACACTCTTTGACACCAAGTAGAGTGCAGTGAATAGTGAAAAACAAACTGTCAGATGTGAAAAACCAACATCATGCGTTCATACAGTGGGGTAATGGGGGAGGGGAGTGGTAATACAAGGTGCAACTTTTTGCTAGTTCTCTTGACAAGACTCTATCCGCTAGAATGTTAATCAGTCAGATTTTGATTTTAACTTGAGGGTTTAAGGGGGGAAAAAGTCATGGTGGTATAGAGTTCGGTGGCGGATAAGTGTGTATGTGTAAGAAGCCAAAACACTCCACATGCTCACAATGGACAAAGAAAGCAATGGTTCTTGGCTTGCCACTCATGAGACATGTCTCTCTCAAAGACAGGATTAGTAACTTGACCAGTGTTGGACCCGCAAACCAATAAAATCGTATAATAAGCCTCTTGAGCCAAGTTAAAACATGCGTGTCTGAAAGCAGCTAATTTGGAACATTCGATAGCGTTGTCGGGATACCTGCCTCACCAACATTAAGACATAAGCCCAGTGTGCTATGAAAAAACGATTAAGATTTTTTAGCCAGTCTTTCAAAGCGTAATTGCCATGCTCGATTTCACCTGAAAATTTGGGTTGCGAAAACAACATCAAGAGGAAGTGTTGTGTTAAAGCTATTTAGCGTTCTTTGTTTGTTCACGTTGTCAGCTATCCCTTTTGCGTTTTAATTTCACTTATTTTCTGGTTCGTTTGCTTCCAATCTCCCATCGGCGAGAACTCTGCAAAACCCCCGCTTTTCTGGCTCAATTTCATTTTTTAAAAAGCTGGGCTAGTATTATATGATTGTAGGCTTGGCTACTGATCGGTGTGCGCTTATGTACACACAGTGCTCAGGCTGAACACAGGTACACAGTCTCGCCTTTTGTACTTTAAGTATCTGGTTATTCTTTTTTCAAAATGCCGTGAAAATGCCCCACTTCCACAACTATCGTTTTATACTGTTAAGGATTTCCCATATATTTTTCTCAAAATAGACAAACTTTGATTTCAATGATATCCCATATATAGTACTTTATTTGCTCTATTGGTAGCACATATGCTTATGTGGGGGGGGGGGGGAAGAAAAAAAAAAATTTCAATGATCAAGCAAAAACGAAATATTCTCAGGAAAACACCTAAAGAAGTCAGGGAAAATTATTGCAAATACATGGCTTCGCAGTGTGCATTCAAGTAATTTTATCAGTAAACCAGAATTGTTTTTCCAATAAATTCACCAGTAAACTAGAATTGCAATTGTAAGGTGTTCTCAGTGGTTTCACCAATGAAAGAGTAGAGCATTTCTGTCTAGTGATTTCACTAGCGAACAAGAATTGTATTCACAGTGATTTCACCAGTGAACTAGAATTGTGTTTTCAGTGATTTCACCAATATTCTTGAATTGTAAACCCCCCCCCCCCCCGATTTTACCAGTCAACTTGAACAATGAACAATATATATATATATTTTTTTCAAATATGTACAATCAACTGTAAAATTAGCCGATATTTTATACAAGTAGGTGGTTGTTTTTTTCCCCTGCTACTGGTTGTATTCTAAATCACTGGACCAGTCCAGTTGACGAGTGACTGCCTGCCTAACTAAAACATTGTAGAATCGCTATTATTATTATTAACTCCAAACAATTTATTAGTAGTTTATTTAGGCCATTTCCGATCAATGTTACTTGTCAAAATGTTGATTCAATTTAACAACTTGTCACACGCTTGAGTGATTTTAGTGATGTAACTGGGACTACTCAGGCACACTCTCAGTATTGACTGTTGAAGCCTTCGTCTGCTGAAATGCAAGGTATTTTGTTTCTAATTACATTGGGCGTGTCTGTCAACAAAAGGCGGCTTGTAAGAGTCAAAGAAACACTCACAATACAATTTATCGGCATATATTTCTTTTAAACCATTGAGTGCCTAAGTCAATTTTTTTCACTGTTCACAAAATTAAACCCACATAATTTTTTTCAATATTATTTGTTTAAATTCTCATTATTATGTTTATTTGGTCAATCAAGTTAATAGAAAAATGCTTAAAAAAAGTAAAATTTTATCAAGAAAATTGATATATGTATATTTGTACGACAGTTACCATAGCCAAGAATTACTTGATTGAAAAAGTACTCAAAAGACAGTCAAAACATTGCCTATCTATGAGTCAGCGCCATTGTGTGCATAATTCTGTAGTCATAATATTTACACCTCTTGTAAGATACGCTGGTATGAATACAAGATTACGAGATCCTTATCTTTGTAATTCCCTGACGTAATTCTTTCTTGCGAGAACACGGTAAAAATCTAAAGGAACCCATTTCTTTGTCTACAGTGTTATGGGTCTTATGGAAGCAGTGTGCCCATTAGTAAAACCTCTAATTGTGCTAATTCGTCATTGAAGCACAGAAAATCCTGCAGGAATAGTGATGCTGAATAACATGATGTTAATGTAATGGAATTTGTAAATAGAAATGGGATGCAAAAAGCGGAGACCTGTGCCATCAAAGTTTACGAGTAAACAGATCACCATGGATACTTCAGAATTGTCAAATAAAATAACTACAGTGGTATAAAATAAACGACATTCCAATGATTACGTAAATGTTTATATATTTACAAAGTCACATTTCAGAGTGTTCTCTTTTCCTTCTTCATCATACTAATAAAAAAAATCCCATCATCATAATAAATACGTTAAAATCACTAAATTATGAAAATGTATACTGAGCATTTTAGAAAATAGTATTCAGAATAATTTCCTATATAAGTATCTACTAATACACAGAGAGTAGAGGGAATACAATAGTTATTATATACTGGATCGAAGAAGGACAGACGGTTGAAAACAAAACATGCCACAACTACATAACTACATGATATACAAAGACAATAATATTAATATTATACAATACTAACATAATGATAAATATAATGAATACAGGGTATGAACATGGGAACACCTAGGAGAGAGAGAGGCATTGTTATATATCACATTTCCATATTCATTGCATAAAATACAGTCAACAATGAGGGCAGTCTAACACTTGTGTTGCTCTATTTGAACACTGAGGGCAGCATATATTTCTACGGTAAAATCTTGAAAAACGCAGAATAGTGAGAATGCCTGAGTTATATCAGATTATTGTCTAACACTCTAGTTTAGTGAAAGCAATACTGTAAAACGATTTAGTAAAATTTTACTTCACAAATAAGAAACAAAAGTCAACATTCATGTAAAATCTGAAATCATGAACGCGAAAGCCAACTTTCGTCATCTTTCACGAAATAAAAGAAAATTGTTTGCGCTATTTTTTTTCAAAAATGCTAATCAATATTTGTAGGTTAAGGAAAATGATTAAAAAATACACAAAAATGTGTAAAATGCTACATCAAAATTATGATGGGTAAAATAGCAATGTTCAATCAATTAAGTTGGATCTGAGATGACACAAATTTACTGATGCTTCAAGAAGTTAATACAACCGATTACCAGTAGCACAGAATTTATTTGAATGCACTATTCCTTTATAAAGTTACCCGAAATTAATGAATGAAATTCAGCAAGTGGATTTGTCCTTCCCATTGAGTCTGTGACACCCATGGTATAATTGGGACAATCATTTTTTTTGTTGTTGGATCACAGGTAGGATTTGAACCACAGATCATGCTGCTACCAGTGATCACGTGCAAGCGACGAGTGAGAAGAAGTGTAACAGTTTGATTAACGTACAATTTGCGTACTATTCACGTACAAGTGACGTACTGTAAACATTACATTTCTGCTGTTATCAATTTTCAGGATATGATGGCATATCATGCTGATGTATCACCCCCACCCCCCCCCTTACGCTAAATTCAGTCAAAATTTAGAATCAACACTGTTTATGTATTTTTTTAACAATTTGTAATCAGATCTTGATCTAAATTTTTGAAAAATAAATTATGGAGGCTGGATTTTGTGTAAGGTGAGAATAGTTGGCATTGGCGTTGTTTTTTGTTGCTTTTGTTTTTAGGCAAACTTTGCCAAAAAGAGAACATCTTTTAACAAGGTAAATGACTACGGTATAGCATATTTTATAAAGTATGAAGCTTACCTTGTTATAATATAGCACTCCTAGTATAGCGATAAGCATCCCTAAGACATTGTAACGAGTGACGGGGTTCTGTAGTAGTAATAAAGATGCGGATATCACAATGATTCGTTTGGTTGCATTCGCCACTGAATAGCTGAGTGGAGTCACCAAAGATAAGACACTGAAGGCAACAATGTTTTGTAAAAAGTTGAGAAACCCAGTTGTAAGAATTAAAAATACTGTAGGAAGCCATTCGATCCTGTTTATCTGCAAAATAAGATATGAAAATTGTTAGGCCAAGTAAAAAATCTGTTACTTGTTTCTCGTTGGCAGCCGAAAATAAAACAGTATGCCTATGACATTTTTTTAGTTAAAAGTAAAAAATTAAAATGCTCTTGCCTCATTTTTAATTTCCAATGCTGATAGAAAAATTATTTTCCCTGGTCTAAGCATGCATGGACCAAATACATGATTCTTGATTTTTCTCAGAAACAACAATTTGTGATTATCTGATTGAAAGCCTATTAACAATGAAAATTCATGTAAATAATCAACCATCTGTCACCGTATGGCAAATGATAATGTCAAGCAAAATGTCAAGGATTCAGCTTTTTTTCCCCCCAACCTGACCTCCCCTGTTTTACTACTTCATTGTCAATAATATGACTTTTTTTGTGATTTGAAGCATTCATAAAGTTTACGCAAACAAAAAATTCTATCTCGACCTCAGATATATCAGTGTGTATGCCTGTTCAGGGGCCTCATCACCTCACTGTTTTGCAGCGGTGAGTGTGAAAGGTGATTTCAACCACAGATCAATTTTGTGGATGCATATTTTGTGGTTACTAATATGACACTCTGGTATCATGAATTATAATACCATACAGGCATAATACACACTATAAATAAACTACTGAAAATATAATTCTCTGAAAATATGGATGAGAATAGTTTCGTTAAAACTACTGGTATGTGCTTAAAACAAAAAAAATCATACCGAATTGCGATAGCAGTAGTATTCACACACAGCATAATGGCGGTAATAATGGTATCCCAAAATACTACGCAATGTTTTGATATTTGTCCTGTTTTTACGTTTGATTTCAAGTATAAAATGAGATCTTGCAGTGAACGAAGAAATAGCAAAATATCACAAACCGATTCACCTTTGCATGAACATAATTAGCATACGAGTCAGGAGCAGTGATATTTGTATTGCGTGTGTAATTCAATATTTGACCGCTTTACATCAATTCTAATATACCAGTACATGTGACAAACACTTGTCTATGGATTCATACAAAACACTAGCAGTAATCATTCCAGTCTGCTGAAGTCCAAGCAGGAGTAGATAACATTGGATGATCTATACTGTAACCCTGTTTTTCTGTAAGATTTGTCTTCTGACCTGGTAGAATGCTGTGCCATACTTATCTTCTGGAAATTTCTAAATTTTGATGATGGCATTTTTTTTATCAAATTACTACAATGTTAAACAAGCCATGCATGGCACAGTCCCT